CTTTTTGCCATCTGGCTGTGGCACACACAGTCTTCTCTGCTAAATTTCTGCCACACACGACAGATTTCTCTCCCTTCCCGTCTCCACCTCATTGTGTATCGCGGCCAAGAACACGGTTGTATCTCTCTTGTATATCTAATTTCTGTCCAGAAAGACCCAGGCTTGTGCTGTATCTGCAGAGCCTCCAGATTGGCCAGACACAAGCCTGTGCTTAGATGAGGGCTTTGGAAAAGCTCTGGAGCATCAGGGGAGAGAGGTCCTGCGTTGCTCACATGAGCAGTAGCTGATTTCCTGATTGCCCTCCTCCTGTGAAGCTGCCTGCGCGTGTGCTCCTCAGCGTTCTTGGTGAAAGCCAGGCTTTCCTGGAACGTACTCTCATTTCTAGCTCTCTGACCTCTGTGCAGAAACACCTCATCTCAGCCCAGCTGCCTTCCTGGCCTGAAGCAGCCCTGGAAGGGGCCCGAGGCAGCGCAGGCGCCAGAAGCCAAGCAGCAAAGTCGGGGCAGGAGAGGTTTCCATCACCTGCACCTCTGCTCTGAGGCTCCCGAGGGCTCTGCTGGTCCCCCCGAGCTCTCCCCTGTGTGCCAGGGCAGACACCCCAGGTCCTGCTTTGGTCAGGGGCCATCGGAGCGTGCCTGGGCACCCCAGAGCCTCGGGAACAGTCTAAACGTAACGCAGCTGAAAGTCTGTGCTCCTGGGACGGTGCTGGAAAGCGAGCTTTGTCTCTCATTTCTGGGAGTCGTGTGACTCCCTTGTCTGTAAATCCCACTGTAGCAAATGAAATAGTGCCTGAACCCCCCTCCCTGGGGTTACTGTGCACTGGGGCCAAATCCAATTGCACCGATAGCGCAGGGACCTCCTGTCTTTCAAGAGAGGGCCTTTGCAGCTACAATGCTGTCCTCTTAATATGCTTCTGGAATTAAATACTCGGGAAACTTTGGTTTTACAACCTTTTATGTGACCTGGACACCTCCTTTACTCCTGTAAATGCTGTGTTATGTTGTGCTTTGAGGGGTCTTGTACTTGCTGTTATGATAAATGGATTAGTGAGCAGCAGAGTGGTCCTGGGCTGCTTTCTCCAGCCCCTCTGCTCTTCCTTCTGATGTGAACCTGAGACAGAGGTTGTCTTTTTCTTTGTTTTTAACCTGTATGCTATAATTCTGCTGTTGGGAGGGAGCACTTTGAATGTATGAGGTGGTGACTGCTCTTGTGTAGAGTGTGGAAACGGGTGACCAGATGATTTATTTGACAGGCTGAATTAAAGCACTTGCCCTGACCTGTGTCAAGGATTATAAAGTACCTTCCCTTTTACCAGTGAGTCCTTGAACAACCTGTTTTGTGTTTCATTGCCCAGTAATTGGCGCTTGCTGGGGATGTCTTGCCACAGACCGTGCTCATCTTCCCCCCGTGAACCTGACCCCGACCCTTCGGCACCTCCCTGGTGAGGAGCCCGTGCCGGTGGCAGCGGGGAGAGCGGGGCTGGGACGGGCTGACTGCTCTCCAGCTCTGCTCAGACAGCCAGCACAGAGATCTAGCACAGACCATCAGAACCTCCTGCCTGGCCTGTTTCTTTCTGCCCTTGCAAGATGGATACCTCCTTTTTTTTTTTTTTTTTTTTTTTTTTTTTTTTGTGGAAAATGTTCAATAAATAACAAGTTATTAGTCAAAACTATAAATAAAAAGAGAGTCAGGAAGGCTGCTTTTTGCAGGATGGTGGTGAATAAGATTGTCCCAGACCTCTGCTGTGTGTCTGACACTTTTTTTTTTTTTTTTTTTTTTTTTTTTTTTTGCTTTTTTACATTTCTTTTGCCAACTTGGTGAAAGCAGCTCACCAGTAGGATTATTTCAGAGTAAGCTTGCCTATCGTCAGCTCAACATACAGTTGGGATTTTTTTTCCTAAGCAATTAATATGAAGAAACTAATATTTAATTTATAAAACACATCATTTTCATCATTGCACTCTTGTTCTTCTATTTCTTTTGTTCTCATTTTAGTGTCAAGACCAATGATGCTGGTCCCAGCCACGCACGGAAGCGGGATGAGCTGGGCCAGTACCTCTGCACGGGTCTGGCTGTGGTTCTGGTGCATGGAGTGGCCCTTTTTCACCTCCTTGTAGTCCTGGACGTGTACAGGGGGAGCGCAGCATGGATGGGTGGCAGTGGTCACCTCCAAAGGGCTGGCTGCTGCTCCTGCCTGCTTCTGGGACAGGGGTGGAATGGTCCAGGCAGATTTTTCTAGATCTTCAATTTTTTTCTTGCTGAATATTTCCCGTTTACCAAAATTCTTGTACGGTGGGGATCCAAACCTGGCATTTCTGTAGCTGTGACATTGCCTCCTAGTGGAGCACCACTGAGACCACCTCTCGGGGTGTCACTGCTCCACAGCTCAGACCTAGCAAGCCCAGATTGACTGTTCTGGTGGAACAGCACTGAGTTCTTCTTCAGGTGATGCTGTCAGCTCATGGCCTTTCTCAAGTGCCAATCCTGTCATCTCTTGGTGTCACCTTTGGTGTTGGTCCCTGGAAGCACACCATGGATATACTCATTTGATCAGCATGTGCCTTGGCCTTTGGTTTGGAAAGGTGTCCAGGCCACTGACTGATGTGTGTTCAGCACTTTCACTAAAAGTAATTCTGCACTTTTTTCCCAAGAACTGTGCTTAGAGTTACTGACTTGGCTCGGTTTGAGATTAGCAGGAAACTTCCTTGTGTTTCCAGTAACTATTTCCAATTTCTAATAATTTCTAAATCTGCCAGTTACCTTGACATGCATCCATTTAACATTTGCTTCTCTGATTTTTTTTAAGTGGTTTTCTATGAGAAGTGATGTAGTACGAAATCAAATGTCTCCTGGAGATCTCTCATATGTCTGGATGACACATGGACTCGGTCAGCGGTCCTCATCAGCCAAACCTGCTCAGCATTGCCCGTGAAGGGGCTGTAGTTGGCTGTGGTGGTGGCTTCCCCTCCACGGTGTTGTGGGGGTAGGATGGGCTGTACGTGAGCGTCCTGGGTACCACAATCCTGCACTGAATCCAGCAAGTTTTACCCCAGGGACAGCATCACAGCCATGGCCCAGGCTCTGCTTCTCTCTGTCTGACATTCCTCCTCTCCTGTGGCCTCCAGATGACCATTTTGAGGGTGTTGTCCTGTGGGGGTGTCCTGGATGTCGGGGGCTGGCGGCATCGAGGCTGTGGGCAGGAGGTTGGGGAGCTGCTGCGGGGAGCGTGGACGCTGCCGGCAGAAATTCCCCCACCGTGTGGTTAAAACTCATCAGAGAGCAAATGAATTGCGTTGCCATGACAGCGGGAAGATTTACAGCAGCCTGAAATTCTTGTACTTTGGACCTAAAATATTCCTCAGAAAAATATTCCAAGTGTGGCTGCGCAGCACAGCTGGGAAGTACCTTCAGGGTGTTTGGTCAGGGGTGACATGGATCCGAGGCCTTGCTCGGCATTGGGCAGGGTCCTGCCCAGTCCCCTGCTTGCTCCAATACCCTGCAGCCCCTTGGCGGTGGCCATCGAAGCCTGCTCAGGACTCACACACCTCTGTGCATGTGTCCAGTGGAGGGGTGACCTTGAAAGGGTGAAGGTGGGGGAGTCTCCAATGCAGATGGGTGGGAGGTCTCCTGTCAGCAGGATCTCACCACGTCTCAGCGCATCCTTGAGCAGCAGGGCAGGAGACCGATGCGGGCTTTGCCCGTCCCCTTGCTCTTGCCACTATGTGTGCACCGGAAATGGGCTGGATCACAGAATCACAGAATGCTATGGGGTTGGCAGGGACCTCTGGAGAGCACCCAGGCCAACCCCCGGCCAGAGCAGGGGCACCCACAGCAGCTCCCACAGCAACGTCTCCAGGGGGGTTGCAATGTCTCCAGAGAAGGAGACTCCACCACCTCTCTGGGCAGCCTCTGCCAGGCCTCTGCCACCCTCACACCAAACAACAGCCTCCTCAGGGTGTTCCCATGGAGCTTCCCCTGCTCCAGTTGGTGCCCGTTCCCTCTTGGCCTGGCCCTGGGCACCACTGGGAAAAGCCTGGCCCCATCCTCCTGACACCCCCCCTGGAAGGATTGCCAGGCCTTGAGCAGATCCCCCCTCCCTCTGCTCTTTTCCACACTAAACACACCCAAGGCCCTCAGCCTTTCCTCAGCACAGAGATGTTCTAGTCCCCTCACCATCTTGGTAGCCCATATTGTCACCCCTGGATTCCCTGCTGGACGGTGCCACAAGTCAGACAAACTTTAAGCATGTTAAGCTTCAGGATGGAGATGGATTCATTCAAAAAAACGTAGGGAGCTCTGTCTTTCCTGAGGAGTGGTCTGCAGCGCTGTGGCTCCACAGCAGAGCCCTCTTCCCCCGCGGCCACATTGGGTTCCCCAGTTCTATTCCCTCTCCCTCCCCAGAGCTGCAGTAGAGGCAGGAGGTTGCTGCTTTGGGTGGCTCCGTGAGGTCCGTTTGTTCTGGGTGCTCCCGAGGGTTCGGTGGACGGTCAGGGCGGGAAGGGAGTTGCTGGTATTTTATTCTGTGCATCATCTTTTCTAGGCTTGCGCTTGGCTATGCCTGAGCCTCTAGAGTTAGGCCTTCCCTGCCTCTGAAACAGAGGAGTGGTGGCCAAGGTCACTGCCATTGTCAATGTGTAACCATCTCCGAGCTGGGGTGGCAGCTGGAGATGGGTTGGCAGGTCCTGCTGGTGGCCCTGCATACCTCCCCGTGTGCCCTTGCTGGTGCTGCCTCCCTCTCGGGCAGTGTTCCTTGAAGCTTCCCAAGATGCCATCTCCAGGTCCACCCCACACTGTGTGCTCCCAGGGCAGTTTCCCCCGTGGTGGTGCAGGGAGAGGAGCTGGAAGCTGATGGAGCTGCCTCCTCCTCTGCTCTGCTTATTCCTATCCCCCCGGCCCAGCTCCATGTCCTTTGCCAGCCGCCCTGGCTTGGCCGCCATCTTCCCGCTCGAGCATGGCTGCCATCCTGGCATCTAACACTGTCTCCCTGGCTCTTTTTGCAGTGCCTTTCCGAGAAACGCCGAGCTACACGAAGCGGAGACGGATCCTGGGGGCCGGCGGGCTCTCCTCCCCGCGCCTGCTGCAGCGCTCGGCCAGCGACAACAACCTGAAGGCGGAGAGCCGGGCGTCCTACTCGCCGGTGCCCTCGCTGCGCAGCCTGCCCCCCCAGCTGCTGGTGCAGATGCAGGAGGCGGCGGCGGGGGCCGGGGACGGCAGCCTGGCCAGCTCCGGCAGCGCCCGCAGTGCCCACAGCCGCTCCCCGTCCCTCCAGCGGGTGCAGGAGGAGAAGGAGGCTGACCTGCCCACGCTTCGGAGGAGCAGCCGCGGCAAGGCCAGGTAAGGGCATTGGGGAGGCATGTCGAGGTGGCCCTATGCCATGGCACCCACCAGGGACCCTGTCACTGCACGGGGCCGGGCACCTGTGGGACCCCGGCTGGGGAGTGGGACAGCTGGTGGAGCCTGATGTGGCCCCGTGTCTCCCTGCCCGGGCCCGGAGTGAGTGCCGAGGGGTTTTCTCCTCAATCTTCTCCCCCTCGGTCTAATCTTGCGTCTCAGAAAAATGGTAAGTGCATCAATGCCGCGTTGCGCTTGGCGTTGCTATGACAATGAATGCATCTTGAAAACTAATACTTGGAGGTGGCACGTTGCAGATAAGCCAACACCTAACGTGTCCCGACCCCGCTGCGGTTGTGGCGGTTGCTGGAACGCTGCCCCCGCAAGTGGTGGGGCTCTGCCCCGGGGCCGGGAGCGGCTGATGGACACCCTCACCTGACCCGCCGAGCAACACGAGGAGTTCTTCCTTGTTGTTGGGTAGCTTTGATGGCCTGTAGGTATGGGAATGAGGTGAACCTCCGGTTGTCCCACTGCTCCCACCACTTGCTGGCCACGTGCAGAGCCAACGTCTGCTCTGATGCCTCTCACCACTGCTGGTGCTTGCCTTCGTCACCCCTGGGCACCCCTGCTGGTCCGAGAGGATGTGGCTGGTCCCTCGGAGAGTAGAGGTGGTACTGCAGAGTCTTTGTGGCCAAGGGTCCCTTTGGTGGCCACCAGGGCCAGGCTTTGCTTTTGGAGGCCCTCTGTTAGTGGAGAGGTGAGAGCGACCATAGCCATGGCTGATGTGAAGCTGCGTCTGCTCAGAAGGGGCTGGGGGGAAAGTCGGGTCCATGAGGCCAGAGCAGGAGTCTGAGGAGCAGGCACCAGGTCTGGGCTGTAGCTGCGTTCATGAATGATTGAGAAATGGATCTGAGCATTGAGGAACCACTCTGCAGAGGGCGGCTGTTTACATTGACTCCGTAGCAGAAACAGCCCTGGGGCCCTTTGAGGCAATCTAAAGAATTTGGAGAAAAAGAAACATGTCAGCAAATAAAAAATAATGAAAATAAGTGTAAAATAGCTAATAGAGAGGAAAAAAATTGCATCACTCAGGTTCTTCATTAACAGTTGAACTCAGAATAAGTTGCAGAGTGTTTTCTCAGCCCAATGGAGGCCTCTGCTCGATGTGCAACTTTGGTACAAAATGCCGTGATATTGGGTGACCTCGCAGTGTGCTGGATGGCAGTATGGAAGACAGTCCAATGCCCTGGTGGCCATCAATGATGGCACCTTAGGGTGCCGTACCTGGCTGGGCACTGCCTGTCGGCTAGAAGGGTGTGAGTTAAAGGGTTTGGGAGGTGCAGTGACAATGATCAGGAACGAGAAAAGAAATACCTCTGCTTTGAAGAGAGATTTAGAAGAGCAGGATTGTTACCTTAGAAACAAGATGAATAGGAGGAAATAAGTTAAAAATATTGAAAATAGTGACTGGCTTATCAGAGGGAAATGGGGAACCTCTGCCTGTTCATGGCAGAGGGAGAAAAATAGGTGCGTGCAATGACATTAATGGCAGGCGTGCTCAAAAATGGGATGAAACACTGGGTTTTGCCCACCCTGCAGACAGCTCGGGGACTCACTGCCTTGGGACTGCTGAAGGCAGAAGCACAGCGGGATTATAAAAGCTTTAGGGGGTTGGTGTGGGCTTTTATAATCAATAAGCTTTAGGGAGTATTCTCAAAGCTACCTGGAGCAGCTGATGGCAGGGCAGGAGGAGGCAGCCGGGGCAGTTCCCAGCGAGAGGAGAGCAGGAGCACGGCTGGGCATAGGGGTGCTGGGGGGGTTAGGGTCTGCCAAGGGCAGCAGCACAAGGGGGCTCCCAAAAGCGGGTCTATCCTGCTGCTGGAGGAGCTGGTGTCCAGCAGCTGGTGTGCTGTGGCCCTGGCTCCGAGCTAGGTAGCTGCTGGCCTGTTGGCCAGCCCTGGATCAGCCTGTGTGCTCCCTGCTGAGTGCGGGAGGGTTGGGATGCTGGGGCAGGGGGTGGGATGCTGCACCAGCAGTTGGGATGCTGGTGCAGGGGTGGGATGCTGACTGGGAGTTGGAATGCTGGGGCAGGCTCCAGGCTCCTCTGGATGCCCAGACCTCCAAAATACCCACTGAGCCTTTGTGCGTGCGAGCCCAGCCGGCTCCGTGCTGAAGCTGGGGGGAAGGCTCTTCGCTGTGCCATCGTGTACCCAGGCAGGGCAGAGGAAGGCAGCTGCCTCCTCCTCCTGCTGCCAAGTGCTGCTAGAGCGAGTCTCTGCCCCATTTTCTTCTGTCTCCTGCCTCTGCAAACTTCTAAAGCGGTGCTGGAGATGACTTAGTTATTCCTAGCCAGATGCATTTATTACATGCATATAAAAGTGCATTTTGCTCCATTATTTTCAGATACTTGTCTATTTTTTCAGGGACAGAACGATTATGGAAGTCATTCCACTGGGTTTGGGGCAAGTGACAGTGACACGCATGCAGCCAGGGTGTTCAATGGCTGGTCATGCTGGCAATTTCAGAGCTGTGGGGGCCGTAGGGAGGTGGTCTTGGTGATGTGAGAAGAACAGCGGTGATAAGTCAGAGGGGAGGGAAAGCAAAGGCTGTTGATCAGGCAGTGGGGTTTGAGCCCGATGGCTGTTGTCCCATGTCCCCTCGTGTCATTTGTGGGGTGGGCAGGGATGGGTGGCCCCGGGCTGTGAGCAGGGCAGCACGAAGGGGATGTTCAGGTGTAGGGCTGTCTGTCACCATCATGGCGCATGGTGCCGGTTGGACGCAGCTCTACAAGTCCCATGGGCTGATACTCTTTGAAATTACAGAGACGTAGCACACACTGGTGCTGTTCAGCATGAGGCCGTGTGCTAACAAGTGCTGAGAGCAGCTAATTAATAGTGGTATTTTGTTTGACCCAGTATTTCTTTCACTGATTGTTTGGCCTTATTGCTCTCCCGGCCGGTTCCCGGTGTGTTTGTGTTGGTTTGACAGAGCTTTTATTCACTCCGGGGCTGGGGAGAGTGGCGCAGTGATCCTTATCTTGTCTCAGTACTCGGTTCCCGGGGATGTTTTATTTTCAAACAAGAAAGCCTTTGCTTTGTGGGAAGTGACAAGGCATCCATAAACACGCGGAGCCCTCTCACATCTTCCTTGAAGAGCCTTGCAGGAAAAATGGTTCTGGGTCAGCGTTTTATTGAAGTAAATATCAAGAAAATTTAGTGTCTGTAATGTTGCCCCAAAATTCTTTATTCCGAGGGCGAAAACTCCCAGCAAAATTCTGATTGTTTTGTAAATATATTCAGGGTGGCAAAGAGAATTTAAATGAAAACTAGTTGAGGATTAGCATTTCAGCAGCAGCAGCTCCTGTGCCTGTGGGCTGGGCAGTGGTGCCCTCAGCGCTGGCGCTCAGCCCTGCCAACAGCAGGAGCAGCGATTTCTCCATGTCGCTCTCACGACTTTGGCCAGGCCAATAGTCCTGGTGGCTGAGTCCTCCCATGGTCGTGGCTTCCCGACCTCCGTGGAGGCTGAGCAGAGGCTCCAGCTGGCAGAGACTGAGTGTGGGAGCACAGGTCTGGCCCTGGAGCAGGGGTGGTGGGGACGAGCCCGGGGTGGACCATCCCCATGGTGAGGGATGGACCGTGGCCAGGAGTCTCTGGAGTGGGACAGGCAGGGCTGCCAGGAGCCTGGAGTGAAGGAGCTGGGAGATGCTGGAGGTTAATCCAGCACAGGATCGGGTGAGCCTCGCACGGGGTTTCCCCAGATGCCTTTTGGTGGCATTTGTGCTAATAACCCGCCCCGGGGGAGGCTGTTGCAGATGGAGTTGGCTCTGAACCCCCAGTTGTGTTGTGGCTCATGGGGGTCCAGTGAGGAGCAGTGGGAAGGGTCTAACCCACAGAACACCAACTGCTTGTCCTGACTGTTCTGGGGAAACCCCAGTGCTGGATGTGCCCCGGTGTTTTCCTCACTCCTGCCTCCCTCTCTCCTCACGGCTGGGAAGCTTTCTAAGGTTTGGTGTGAGTATTTCCTCCTCTGGTGTGTTACACCACGCTGACTCTGCATGGGTACGCTGAGGAGCCTGCTCGCTTCCCCCGGCAGCGCTGCAGACAGCTTGCAGTGTTTTCCTCGGGGCTGGCTGTTATCCCCCATTGTCCACCCTTCCCAAAGCTCCCTTTTCTCCCAGCTCCTGCCGGGCTCCTCTCCCGGCTCCCGCCGCCCCCCTCCCTGCCGGCAGCCGGTGCCGGAGCAGGCAGCAGCAGCAGAGGAGTGCGGCAGCAGGTTACCTTGCCTGTTTTTCAGGCTGTGGTTTTGATAGCTCATCACACGGCGTTTTATGGGGTGGTGTGATGTCTGACTCACATTCCACGTGTGATAGCCTCCACGGTTTTTCCCCCTCAAAGCCCACTGCCTATCCAGCCTTTCCCCATCTGAATCCCTGTGCAGCTGATCATTCCTGCCTAGATTTAGTACCTTCAGTTTACCGGGATCCATCTAAACCCCAATCCTGTTCTTTGGAGTATTTTGCAGCCCCTTTGTACTGCTGGTAGATTTGGTGAGGATCTTCTCCAGCCCATCATTGGTTTTGCTAAAGGAGACGCTGACCCCGGTCAGCCTGTTGTTGGGGGGTTGGGGGGTCTCGGGGCAGGCGTGGGGAGCCCGGTGAGGCCGGGGTGTGCGGCCGCTGCTCAGAGCTGGCTCCTCTCACCATCTGCCCTTGACAAATCCCTTCTGACTGTTCCCACACTGCTTCCCTCTAGGCTAGTACAAACACTTCGGGTTGGTATTTGCTCCAATGTTCTTTTTCCAAGAAGTGAAGTGATGGTATTTCTTTAGTTTGTCTTTTTCCCATCCTGTTTGGCCATTTGCTATTTTCCACTCTTTTGGCCACACTTCTCTAACATAAACCTTCATAGATGACCTTAGGTGTTCTTAGATTGCTTCAATTTGTTCATAAACTTCCCAACACCTGTATATCAGGCAGATCTAAATATTCTTAATTAATTCCTGCT